AGGCACAGACAGTTATGACAGTTAACAAATAACACAAACGCACAGTTAACAAGAACACAGTAACAGACAAACATTCCAGTGCAGTCGTGGAGATAAAACAGTAACTCGAAGGACTGGCAGCTGGCCCTCCTTACAGATGAGGACCCCCATCCTCCTTACAGAAGAGGACCCTGTCCTCCAGGCAGGGGCAAAGGACGTCTACCTCAAGATCCCCCGGTCGTGGCCTGCCAGCGCGTCCGCCTAAACCAATGTTGACCCAATACAGATTGGAATTCCTACAGGTAAAAGTACAGTTTAGAGCTCTCAGAAAATATGCGCGCAAAAGGTGGTAAAAGTTGAGTGCACTCTCCACGCGTGGGACCCTCCAGATAGGCTCCTGGGGGTCTCTCGGATCCCGGACGAGCCCCCAAATGTTGTGCCCAAGATTGCGAATCTGAGAAACCACCAAGGAGCCGACACCGATGCAAACACACGAGGGTTTATTTACAAGCTCGAACTTGGGTCCAAGTACACCCGACACAGGGGAGCAGGCACTTGGACTCCGAAGTGGGTTACAGCTGGGTTTTTTATGGGCTGGTCTAGGGGATCTTTGGAAGGGGTGGAGGAATTTTTTCCATTCTAATATGGTGGAAAGGGTGGGGGAGTTTCTTAAGATCTGATACAGGATTCTCTGCTGAGGGCATTCTGAGCTTTACTGCCTTTCTGATATGGGATTCCTTGCCTAGGACATTCTGCAGTTTCTCCTGTAAAGTTCAGCTCTTATTCCCAGGGGCCTAAGATGGCTGTACTTATGCTAATGCTAAACTTGAGGTGGAATGGCCTTAATTTTTCTCCGCCTCCATAAGAGAATGAAGAAAATCTGTTGCATTCTCTTGTATGAGGAGGTGGGGATGGGATGAAAGGTGTGGGGAATGGAGCTAAGTACATCATTTTGTATAGAATTGACTTTTACAACCATGTTAACATTTTACTTGTTAAAAAAAATAAGAATGCAAAGTCCTTAAATTGAATCTAACAGAAACAAATCTAACAGATTTCAAGTGAAAGAAATAAGATGAACACAATTAGTAACTTGACTATGCACCTTCAACCTTCAGATAGAAGAACTGCAAACAAATATTGGAACTTTACTAAAAGGTTGGTTTTTCACAATGATAGGGATTTTGCAATTTTGAAGCTATCAAAGGATGGAGCAAATTGAGCACATGAATAAATGATGATTCTCACTGTTGAAGACAAGAGATACAGATATAAATATGGAGTAGGAAGAACCCTATGATGATTGGAATTGCAGATGCCAATATGAACTCATTTGTGGTAAGTATACATTATACATATTTCTAACTCCTGAAAGGGCTCAATAGCAACGAATATATCCTAAGTCTATATTGGAGCCAGGTATCATTCTCTACTTGATAAAACCAGCATTCCTTTTTTTTTTTTTAATTTTTTTTTCAAATTTATTTATGATAGCCACAGAGAGAGAGAGAGAGAGGCAGAGACACAGGCAGAGGGAGAAGCAGGCTCCATGCACCGGGAGCCCGATGTGGGATTCGATCCCGGGTCTCCAGGATCGCGCCCTGGGCCAAAGGCAGGCGCCAAACCGCTGCGCCACCCAGGGATCCCTTTTTTTAAATTTTAAATAGGTTCCACACCCAACATGGGTCTTGAACTTACGACATTGAGGTCAAGAGTCACATATTCCATCAATTGAGCCAGCCAGGTGCCCCTAGAACCAGCACTCCCTGAAAAATGGCTGACTCCTGGGCTGACGTATGAATAGGAAAGATGAGCCTGGAGCATCTTGTTGTACCAGACATACACCTTGACATAAAAAAAAAAAAAAAAAAAAAACAACAACAACAAAAACAAACACCTAGGGGAAATGAAACTTCTTTAAAACAGGGCCTGTGGTGAGGTCCTCAGAATGAATGGATCCAACTGTAAACTACAGGGACCTGGCGGGTGGGTGGGCGTGAGCTGACTGCAGATCTTAGCCTTTTACACCCTCAGTCTCCCCAGCTCTGTGTGTGGTAGACCATGTAAGCTTTGACTAGTTACCTGCTGGATGCTGCTATGTTGCTGACGTTGTGGTTTGTTTCCCCTTGACTGTGAATTTGATGGCTTGTCAAAGGATCAGTTTTCAGTACAATTTTTGTTAAATATTCCTGGCCACTGCTGTGCTCTTTTAGGGGAATGTCCTTTAAGGGCAAAGCTGAGGTCTGCCTCTTTGTAATTGTGAAATCTGTACCTAATCTCTGGACTGGAATATCAAGTTGTCCACTGTAAATGTCAAGGGGCATAGTAGTATGTAAAACTGGCTGCCTCTGAGAGCCAGTGATATAAAAAAGAAAAGGAAGTGTAGGCCTTTCAATTAACTTCACAAAAGATACACACAAAAGGCCAAGTCCTAGGCAATTGAGTATGAAAAATGTGCCCTAGTGTCCCTCCCTCCACCCCTCCCCACCGGTTCTGCATTCTTTTCTTTTTTAAAGATTGTATTTATTCATTCATGAGAGACAGGCAGAGACATAGGCCGAGGGAGAAGGAGGCTCCCTGTGGGGGAGCCCCGAGGCAGGATCACACCTTGAGCCCAAGGCAGATGCTCAACCACTGAGCCACCCAAGGCGCCCCCCCTCCCCATCCCCGGTTCTGCATTCTTTTGTTTGAATTAGCCCATGTCTCTACTGTGGACAGTGAATGGCCAATGTAGGCTCCAAGTGGGATTTTCATTTTTGTCAGAAATCAAAGCCTTAAACTAAAAGAACCAACTGTTTACCTAGAGCTGTTGGAGCAGGTTTGCTTATGCAGTCACTGCCCATTGGCCTCATGTCGGCCTGACCATCTCCTGAGAACTGAGCCAGTTAATTAATATTCTCCGTGAAATTCTTGGCAGGCTTCAACCTGCCCTTGATGAAGGCTCAGCAGCTGTATTGCTTCTGAGATGCTTCATCTCAACTTCACCAAGTCCCCACAAGGCCTGGGGAGAGGCCCGCGTGTACCTGCTTTGTCCTGCCCTGAAACCTTCTTGGGACTTGGTGTAACAGGCTGACTCCCTTTTCAGGGGGGAGGCGGAAACTTTCCTACACTCAAGCACATTCACAATTCCTGGGGCCACTAAAGCAGCTATTTTCCATTCCCTCAGCAAATAGGGCTGTAAACAAATGGTCTACATTAAGGGAAATGAAGCCTGGAGATGTTACAACACACTCGCAGGTATAATCAGCCAAGGTTCTGTCCAACCAGAGTGCTTCGTCTTTAAAATCCTCACTCTGTACTGCCCTGCTGCTTTCTTTGTGGGTCTTTTATTCATCACATGCTGTTTTATAGTTTGTTTCTTGCACATTGCTTTATTCTCAGAATTTAAAAAAACAATCCGGGATCCCTAGGTGGCGCAGCGGTTTAGCGCCTGCCTTTGGCCCAGGGCGCGATCCTGGAGACCCGGGATTGAATCCCACATCTGGCTCCCGGTGCATGGAGCCTGCTTCTCCCTCTGCCTATGTCTCTGCCCCCCCCCCATCATAAATTAAAAAAAAAACAGCAACCCACCTTAGATTCAGTCTGTTTATATACAGAGAAATTTCAATTGAATTTAGTTTTTGATCATTTTGATGCTCTAATGTATGCTATATTGATAAATTTTATTTTTATATATTACTGTGATCTACATTTTGTTTTTCAAGATGAGGCTTTCATTTTTAATAACTATCACCAGTGTCACTGGACCTCAACCATACTTTTCTGAGCTTCTCATCTTGCTGGTGAATTTGGAGAGGAATGAATAAGTCATTTCTGAGCCATGATTTGAAGTACCTATAAAAAAAGAAAGAAAGAAAGAAAGAAAGAAAGAAAGAAAGAAAGAAAGAAAGAAAGAAAGAAAGCCTTTCCCCTTCTGTCCCTCCAAATAGTACTTCTGACTGAAGCAGCACCATGACCTGCTTGTGCCTGGCTGTGAATTGCATCTGGATGAGAGAAATTGGACGCTGGCAAAAGAGTTATGGAAGAATTTCAAAAAAGTGGGGTGAAACCAAATTTGTTTTCCACATTTGCCTCAGGGTTGCCTGGTGGAGATTGGAAAATAAGGCCTCTGGAAACAATGAAAGGAATCATAATTAAATAGCCCAGAGAAGATCTTTATGCAATTATGTAGTCTTCCTTAGAACAGAGCATGGATGGTTAGGCCCACGTAGGCACAGAATACAATACACAATATCTGTTTAGATAAAAGGAAAAAAATTCTCACTGGTAAAAACTAAAATAACTGTGGAGATTTGATGGCCTTTACCAGCAGAGTAGAGGCCCCTCTATAGGATTGGATGGGATCGAGTTTCGGTGTCCTTCCAGACCCAGGATTCTGAGAAGAAAGGATGGTAATGTGGAGACCAGCATGGTTTCCATGGGTACCAGGAGTTGGGATAGGTTGTGAAAGGAAAGAGGAGAGCTTCACTCAGATGTAGGGACAAAAAAAATGTACCACAGTACAGAACATGTAGTAGCTGCATAATACTGACTAGTTTATAAAGAAGTAGAGTCTTAGAAGCCAGCTGAACAGGTGACACAGTCTCCCAGTTCTCACTGATAGGAGACAACTTAATAGACACAAATATATTGCACAAAACCTCAACACAGGTTTCTGCAGGGAAGGTTTCCACCCAGTCCCTGCTGCTCCCCGAACAGTCAGGGAACAGAAATTCCCTAAGTCACTGTTCACTGTGACTCAGCATTCCTCATCCTGTGAAAGGACACAATTCTGTCTCTTCACTTTAACAGCAAACCCCAGTGGCATCAGGTGACCTTGGTTATAGACAAGAATCATTGAATATGGCAGCACTTGTGGCAGCTGTGACTCCTTCCTTTGGTTATGGATCTCAAGTTCCACAAAGTCCTCAGGTGTCCAAAATGACAGATGTCTCTTTTGAAAAGAATTAAACCAGGATCAGCTCACCCATCCTCAAAGGGAATTGACCATGGTGACTCTTCTGAGAGGCATTGTTGACTTTTCAGGGGAGCTTGCTGTTCGCCTGCCAGTACAACTTCTCTTCTACTTTTTTTTTCCATCGGCAGAGTAGCAGCATCTTAAAGGTCTTCCTGAAGGTTCTGTTGCAGAGGGCATAGCAAATGGGGTTGACGGTACTGTTGACATAGCACAACCAGTAGCCCAAGTGCCACAGGGTGACTGGGACACATTTGTCACAGAAGGTGGAAACCAGGACCATTATGTTATAAGGGGTCCAGGTGATGATGAACGCCAGGAGAATGGCACTCAAAGTCTGGGCTGCTTTCCTCTCCTTGACAAGGACCATTCTTTTTCGTTTGGTCATTTGATGGCTGAGGTTGGGATCCAGGCCTTTTGTGGAAGGATCCTTGGACACTGGGAAGGAGCAGGGCATGATTTTAACCTTGTGACAGCTGTTGTTGGCCTCCTGGGTCCCATCAGCTTTTACCACCAATTGGAACTTATAGGCCACACATTTCTGACTCTTGGATCTATGAGCAGCACCTGGAGACAAGAAGTATTTTTGGGTGTCATAGTCATTTTTTTCAGCTTGAGCTTTCACAAAAGTTTCCTTGGTCTCCTCGGCACTGAATTCTTCCCTTGGGCTTTCCTTGGTCTGGCTCTTGTAGACTACTTGGAAGACAGGGTCAGCGGTGGACTTGTCCTCGTCCTCTGAGGAAGGGCAGCTGCTACAGGTAGTGAGCTGCTCAGCTTTGGCCCACTCGGTGCTTGGCCCCATGGCTTGGGATGGCTTCCCAGTGGTGGAGGTGCTCCTGTGGGAGGATGACCAGGAGGCTTCGTTCCTCTCCCTCTGGGCCAGCGTGGGCTGAGGGCAGCTAAAGCAGGATGTCAGCAGAGCCTTCTGAGCTGGCTTTCTTGGCTCAGCTTCAGCCATGGAGTCAGAGCCCTGGAGGTCGGCCAGGTCCTTGGTTCGCTTCTCTGTTTCCCGGTAGATTCGGCAGTAGAGGATGGTCATGACAGAAACAGGGATGTAGAAGGCAGCGATGGCAGTGCCAAAAGTGATGGTGGGCTCGGAGAGGAATTGGATCTGGCACTCATCTGGTGGCACTGTCCGCTCCCCAACCAGGTACTGCCAGCAGAGGATCGCCGGTGCCCAAAGGATGAAGGAGATTAGCCAGGCCAGGCCAATCATGATGCCAGCTCTTCTTGGGGTACGCTTCGCCCGATAGGTCAGAGGTCTTGTGATAGAAAAGTAACGGTCAAAACTGATCACCAGAAGGTTCATGACAGAAGCATTGCTGGCCACATAGTCCAGTGCAAGCCAGAGGTCACAAGCCAGACTCCCGAGCACCCAGCGTCCCATGAGGATGTAGGTGGTGTAGAGGTTCATGGAGAAAATCCCAATGATGAGATCGGCACAGGCCAAGCTGAGCAGGTAATAGTTGTTAACTGTCTTCAGCTGACTGTTGACTTTGAAGGAGATCATGACTAAGATGTTGCCCACGATGGTGACCAGGCTGACTACAGCAGTCACGGCTGCAATGGTGATGATCTCCCACAACCCGTGGTGTTCCAGAGGCTGGTGACTTACTGGGGTGCCATTGACAGTGCTGGTGTTGTGATAAGGTTCCTCTTCCATCCTTAAATAGGGTTAAGTCTTGGTTTCTAGACCATCTCTTTCCTCTCTCACCTCCTCTTGGTCAGCACCTGGAAGAGAGGTAACTGTGTTAACCCCACTCACCAGCAATGGATCTCTGCCCCACTCATTGCTTATCATGTGCAATAGAATATTAAACATGGCCACACACATTCAGAGCAGGATGTGGAGATCTCTGAAAGCCTTGGTGACAGTCTTGCAGTAGCACCATCCCTTTGCTTTCTGGAAGTTACCAGAGCCTGGGAGCCTTTCTTGTACCTGAGGCTGCTGCCCTCTTGTGGTTCCAATAGGCAATTTAAAGAAGAGGGGGAAGGAAAGGGAACCAGGTACCTGGGGAGCAAAGGAGAGAAGCAAGCAGGGAAGGTGAAGTCACTCTAGATTGCGACGATGTTAGGGGCAAACGCTGTTTCCTAAGCTCGCAGTGCTAAGTACCCAGTGTGTCATGCTCTGGGGAAGAGACGTTGTAGGGACTCTGTTGTCCCTTTACCAACTATGATTGAGTTTGATTCTAGGTTCAGCTATTAACTGTTACTGAGGCCATGCTGTGAGGCAGGACCGCAGCACAACACTCCCCCCTGACGTTTGTGCTTCCCACGAGCACCAGCTGCTGCTGCTCACCTACCCCCGTTCTTGAGCTATTTGCGATGTAATAGAAATGTTTTATATTATTTTATTTTCTGATTATAAAGTAAGATTTTCTTGTAAAAGCTCAAGAAATGTCAAAATGTATAGCTTAGGAAACAGGGGCCCTCGGTGGCTCAGTCGGTCAAGCATCTGCCTTTGGCTCAGGTCATGATCTCCGGGTCCTGGGATGGGGCCCCACATTGGGCTCTCCGTCAGCAGGAGTCTGCTTCTCCCTCTCCCTCTGACCTCCCTGCTGCTTTTTTTTTTTCTCTCTCTCTCTCTCAAATAAATAAATAAAATCTTAAAAAAAAAAAAAAGAAAAGAAAACAAGCCTCCTTTAACCGAATCTTGCAGAGGTAATCAATGCTCTCCCCTACCTATGCATATGCTAACAAATATTTAAATACAATTATTTTTAAATAGGTGACTTTTTAATGTCTACACTCAATTTTGTTTTTTACTTAACAAATCATCATGGATACCGTTTTTTCTTATAAGATTTATTTATTTTGTTGAAGTAATCTCTGTTCAACGTGGGACTCAAACTTGTGATCCCAAGATCAAGAGTTGCATGCTCCTCCAACTGAGCCAGTCAGGCGCCCCAATGCACATCTTTTGTATCAGCATGTCTTTTGATTAGAGCTCTTTTTTTCATTTTAATGACTGCACGTTATCCCATTTAATGGATGTAATTTAATCAACATCCACTGACAAATTCAAACTTTTAAAAATAAACGTCAATTTTCCTTTCCTTTTTTTTTTTAAAGATTTTATTTATTTACTCATGAAAGACACACAGAGAGAGGCAGACATAGGCAGAGGAAGAAGCAGGCTCCCTGCAGGGAGCCCAGTGTGAGACTAGATCCACCCAGGTGCCCCTATAAAATGGAATATTACTCAGCCATAAAAAGAAAAGATTTCAAAAGAAATCTTGAAAATCTTTAAAAAAAGGGGGGGGATCCCTAGGTGGCTCAGGGGTTTAGCACCTCCCTTTGGCCCAGGGTGTGATACCGGACTCCCGGGATCCAGTCCCATGTTGGGCTCCCGGCGTGGAGCCTGCTTCTCCCTCTGCCTGTGTCTCTGCCTGTCTCTCTCTCTATGTCTATCATGAATAAATAAAATCTTAAAAAAAAAAAGAATGAAATCTTGCCACTTGCAATGACCTGGATAGAGCTAGAATAAAATGCTAAGTGAAATAAGTCAGTTGGAGAAAGACAAATATATGACTTCACTCGTGTGGAATTTAAGAAACAAAACAAATAAGCAAAGGGAAAAAAAAGAGAAAGGGGCAAACCAAGAAATAGGATCTTAACTATGGAGAACAAACTGATGGTCACCGGAGGGGAGGTAATAGGGGTTTGGGGATTATGGGGGGCCACTTTCTGTGATGGGTGCCAGGTGATGTACAGAGTTGTTGAGTCCCTGTGCACTTGAAACTAATATACCACTCTATGTTAACTAACTGGAATTGGAATAAAAACTTCCAAAAAAAAAAAAAAAAAAACAAACAAACAAACCCCAAAACCCGAGGCATCAAGTTGGAAAGCCTGAGACGTGGAGGAGACATGATGATTTTTTTTCTCAAGTCTTCAAAACAGAAATAAATTGTGTCTTGGAATGATTTAATCTTTCCTATTTAATTTTATTAGAAGGTAATAAGCAATTTATAAAGGGTCCTGGGAATTTGGATGTGCACATTCTCCTGTGACCACATGTGTATACTCGGGGGTTTTCCTCTCTGACCTGTTTCCTCATTTATAAAAATAAGGAAATCAGACTATGGGATGACGCAAGATCCCTACATTTTAATGATTTTGTATATTAATAGTGTGATGGTTGATTTTTTTGTGTCATGTTGGCTATGCTACAGTTGCCAATTGTTTGGTCAAACACCTGAGTCTAGATGTTGCTGTGAAGGTATTTTTTAAAATGATTTTGTTGTGCCCAAGATTGCGAATCCGAGAAATCACCGAGGAGCCGACACTGATGCAAACACACGAGGGTTGATTTACAAGCTGGAGCTTGGGTCCAAGTGCACCCGACACAGCAGAGCAGGGACTTGGACCCTGAGACTAAGAGGCTTAGCAACTTTATAGGGGCCAGTGGCCAATGGGATATGCAGAAAGTTGCACAGTCATGTCGGTCCAATCCGCAGGTGGCCGATTGAGTTGTATTTTACCCTAAAGTATCCATTTGAACTGGCCTATCACTGAGCCGGATTTCCGGTCAGGGTGTGCCCTGGTCCTGACTAGGGTGGAGCAGTGCCCTAAGCAGGTCGGCACAAGACGGGTACAGCACAAAATGGAGTCAGTCCTGCTCTGCTTGGCCAGGTGTAGGGGATTTTTGTTAAATTTCCTGCATCCACAATTTTTTTATTTTTATTTTATTATTTGAGAGAGAACACAGCAGGGGCAGGGGCAGAGGGAGAAACAGGCTACCTGCTCAGCAGCAAGTCCAACGTGGGGCTCAATCCCAGGACCCTGAGATCGAATGAGCTGAAGGCAGATGCTTAACTGACTGAGCCACCCAGGGAGCCCTTTATTTATTAGAGAGAGAGAGAGAGAAAGAGAGAGAGAGAGAGAGAAATGAGGGGAGGCAAGAGGGAGGGAGAAGCTCAAGCAAGCTCTTCTGAGTGTGGAGCCCAATGTGGGCTCAATCCCATGACCCCAAGATCACGGCCTGAGTTGAAATCAAGAGTCAGACACTCAACTGACTGAGCCACCCAGGTGCCCCTTGGAGTAACTCTTACTGCTTTTTGGGTTGTAGAGGCAAATAAAATATATATAATTGGTTATCTGGGGGGTGAGAACTCATCTGAGGTCTTATTTGGTTACTCAAACTGTAGAAGTTCCCATTTTCCAGGACACCTGCCTGGGTGGCTCAGTGGTTGAGCGTCTGCCTCTGGCTCAGGTCATGATCCCGGGGTCCTGGGATCAAGTCCTGCATCGGGCCCCCTATTCAGCAGGGAGTCTGCTTCTCCCTCTGCCTCTGCTCTTCCTCACCACTTGTGCTCTCTCTCTCTCTCTCAAATAAGTAAATAAAACCTTTAAAAGTAAATAAAAATTCCCAATTTCCACTACTTTTATGGAAAGTTACCCTAGTTTATGTCTAGGGTGCCAGTATCGGCAGAGAGCAAACAGTCACCCCCTGGTTATTTTTCTACCACCAAACAGGAGACCAAAAATCCCAGAATGATAAAATTGTCCTTGTTCCCAACTCTGGGTCTATTGCATCTTGCTGCTTTGTTGTCAATAACTTACAAAGGAAGCAAACCAACACAAAAGCCAAGAAAGGTAACACTGTATCACCTGAATTCTCTTCCTTGTGGAGTGGCCTTGATGACTTCTGAGGTTTTGCATGAGATGAGCTTAGGCCTTGCTTTTCTGAAATACCTCTTCTCTGAGCTCTATGCCTGAGCCTTGCCTCACTGTTGCTATAGCAACCATGATGGAAAACTTTAATAGAATCTACAATCCAGTGATATCAGGACATCATCATAACCTGCTCTCCTCCTGCCCTCTCCTTTTTCAAGAATACATCAAGAGAAAGTAAGCTTAAAATACATGGTGGCATTGGGGTGGACATCACGAAGAACTTGCAGTGACAAAATATGTGCATAAAAGAGGCTCTGAATTTGCCTTTTCGTTTGTATTTTATTTTATTTTTTAAAAATTTTTTAAAAATTTTTATTTATTTATTGAGAGGCAGAGACACAGGCAGAGGGAGAAGCAGGCTCCACGCAGGGAGCCCGACGTGGGACTTGATCCTAGGTCTCCAGGATCATACCCCGGGTTGCAGGTGGCACTAAACCGCTGCACCAGTGGGGCCGACCGCGTTTGTATTTAAAGTTGGTTTGTGTAACCTCTTTTAATTGATAGAACACTGTCCAAAGATGTGGTGATTAAGAAATGGCTTCTTTTTAAAATTTTTTTCTTTCTTTTTTAAATTTGAATTCAGTTTGCTGACACAGAGTATAACACCCAGTGCTCATCCCATCGAGTGCCCTCCTCTGTGAGAAATGACTTCCTGATGTCACTGAAACAGTAATATCTGGGTCAGAGTTTTTTTTTTAATAAAGATTTTATTTATTTATTAATGATATGACAGAGAGAGAGAGAGAGAGAGGCAGAGACACAGGCAGAGGGAGAAGCAGGCTGCATGCCAGGAGCCTGATGCGGGACTCGATCCGGGGACTCCAGGATCGTGCTCTGGCTAAAGGCAGGCGCCAAACCACTGCGCCACCCAGGGATCCCTGGGTCAGAGTTTTAAGGTGATATATGCGCTTTTAAAACTTCTGACATGTATTTATTATTTTTAATTGAAATGACATGCAATATTGGTTCCAGGTGTACAAGAGA